ATATATATTTATGACTTGTTTGTCCCTGTATCATCTAAGTTCCAAAAGAGGAAGATCCTGCGCCTTTCCCAAGATGTAAAGGGTTATTCTTTTATAAAAGGTATGTTAATGAATATTTTTAGTTTATTTTAGGAAAATTCCCTTCTAGGCCTTTTGATAGCTTTTGGAAAGCAAACAGGAAATTACTATACTTTAAATTCATTATTAACATGAAGAGAATAAATGCTCTGAAAATGTTTTGGTGTGTTTGTGATTGTGATCCTCAGCCTCCAAGTGCTGGGATTTCAGGTGTGCGCCATGCCCAGCCTACATTTGAATTTTAAATGTGAGGAGCCACAGGATTTAGAATCACAGTCCTGAGTCCCAAACTGGCTTTACTTGCCAAGTAGGCAGAATTTCCTCCACCATGAGTGAGAGGAACCCAAGCCAGATGGCCCATCACAGAGGGGACTTGGTGGCACTGGCAGTGTCTCAAACAGTGCCCTGCTGTTGGGTGACTCTTGTGAGGGGACATCCCTTTTTAGGTGAGACAAGCTAGCACCAGTCCCTCCATGTAGGGGATATGCAGGGTCGATCTTGCTGCTATCTTTGTCAAGTTGACTTCCTTCTTTTGTCTCATGAGGCCACTGACACCTCCAGGCTGTAAAAGAGGGTATTCACTTTGCCAGGCCACTGGTAGGAAACGCTCAGGGATCTTCTTGTTCGCCTGACTCCTGGCAGAGATTCTCTGCTTGACCAAACATTCTCGTAGGCCCTGCTATGCACTGTGTTGTGAAATCCAGGTTTAACAGGGACCCCTCCCCCCATTTCTGATCATCCTCCATAACAATCCTCCACTCTCTCCAGCTGATGTCTGATCAACCTGGCTGTCTCTAGTTTGGTATTGTGTTTGCTTGAGTATCACATTAATTGGATTCATGGTGATGGGCAAAACTAAGTGTATTGAAATTTATATTCTCCTACTTTGAAACTGTCAAAATTTTGGAACTGTGAAGTATATTGTACCTCTGTTGTGATATTTTTCTAGTCTTTTAAAAACTATTACAGGAAATACATTTAATAATATAGCTGAGTGCGTATATGTTTATATTTGTGTATAATATTCATAATCAAAATCTCATTGTTTCTTGGCCTTTTTGGCTAGATCAAGTGTAGTATCTGTTCTTATCAATTTAATATCTGATATGCCCTCTATCCAAGGACAATACATTAAATGGATTTTTGGAGCTGGGACATGGAATAGGAGTTTGCTCTGTCCACTCAGCGCATTGACCTGATATTGTAGTAATAACTGGAATGGTGTACACACACACACACACACACACACACACACACACAAATCTCATTAATTATCTTACTATAGGAACTACACTGTGATGTTTTCTGTTTTCTACTTGATTTTTATAAGCTATTGATTTTTACCAAAATTTTGTATGATTCCTTGATGTATTCCAATCTGCCGTATCTCATAGTAAGGTAATTCTGTAGGTTGAATCTGTGGTATATTTTGTCTCTTTTTTCTCCGAGTATCTAATTCTAAGGAATTTACCTGTTTTACTTTCCCTTTGGCAGACTATTGAAGAACATTCACTTCATGTGTTTGTATAATCTAAGTACTTTAAAATCATAATCCCTTCTGGAATATAGAATAGCTGAGTTGACTCCAATTTATGTGTTGTTAAAAGAAACATTTTGAGCCGAGGATGTAGCTAGCTCAGTAGCACAGTTCCTGCCTGGCAAGCTGGAGGCCCTGAGTTTGATTCCTGGTACCAAAAAAGAAGAAAAAACTAAAAAGAAAAGAAAAATTTCATTATATGTCACTGGGAAAATATGTTAGATAGTGTAAAGAAAATCCTTTTTTGAAGTAAATTGATATGTGTATATGCTTTATGTTTTAAGACCTACAGTGGATTCAAATATCTGATTCCAAAGAAGCATATAGACTTTTAAAATTAGGAATAAAAAACCAGAGTGTTGCCTTCACAAAACTGAACATTGCTTCCAGTAGAAGGTAAGGAGTAAATCCTATAACATAATACTGAAACACATAAAGTATTCTGTGCTAATTTAAATGCAGCTTATTTTACAATAAAGTAGATAGTAGGTTCTGTGTTAAATGATTTCACAGATATTAAGACCTTTTCTGTAGACTAAATACTAAATATATTATCAATATTCTTATCTTAACATTATGTTCACTAAGTTCTAGGAAATTTGCTAGTTTTCTTTACTCTTTATGTCAGTATCCTAGCTCACTTTTGCAGCTGCCTGGAATGTTGGGTTTTTTTCTTTCTTTTTTACTTCATTCTTAGCATACTGAGTTAGGCCATAATCTCAAGAGTTAAGGAAGGATGATTTTGATGAATGGAATTGGAAAATGAGAGACAAATAGAATAAGTTTCAACAGTTAAATTCTTAAAACAGATTTTCTCTTAGGGAAAAGAGCCCTTTCCTTCTATTCTCTATTAAGTTAGGCATGTATGATTGATGATCCAAATAAGCCTATATTTAAATCTTTGCTTTAGGTATATATTCAAAGAGTATTGGTTCCACATCATATATTTTAATTAATAATGTGCTATTAGCAAGGAAGTTGTAAATAATAAATGATTTCATTAATAGATGTTAGAATGTCAAAAAGAAGATTTTTGAGGGATTTGGGGCCAGGCAAAAGATATGATTTTAGACAGTTTGGTATCGACAGTGAAACAGTGGATTGACATATCTGACAGCTAGTTGGAAAATGCAATGACAGACTATAGCTAATATTAGATTATAAGTAGAGGTACATTTCGATGTTAGTATTTCCTATTTAGAATACAGAAATTAAAAATGGAAAAATTATATGGATGTTTGTTTCTTTTAGTCACAGCATATTTACTATTAGAATATTACAAATTGAGGATTCTGAAATACCTCGCGTACTTCGAGTCAGTGAGTAAGTTGAGTATTCTTTAAATTGTAATTACTGTCAATTGCTTTGAAGAATTTTAAAATAATTTTTTTTTGTTGTGGTTTGGTTGATTCAGATTGTCTTTATGTGATCTTGCTGGTTCAGAACGAAGCCTGAAGACACAGAATGAAGGTGAAAGGTTGAGAGAGACTGGGAACATAAACACCTCTTTATTGACTCTGGGAAAGTGTATAAATGTTTTGAAGAACAGTGAAAAGTCAAAGTAAGTATTATTAGCATTGAAATATTTAAACTTCCAATTTTGTTGTTTTTAGTAAGTACTTTTATTTTGTAATGACTATGGATTATGATTAATGTACTTAACATCTTGGATTAAAAAAACCACATAAATAAAAATAAATTTTTCAATGTCACTGCCTTATCAAGTACACTCAGTATTTTCCGTGGCAGATGTGTATGAGCCAACACTTGAGACACCAAGTTTCTCATCATGCTGGTTTAGCATCTACAGTCACATTTTTGTTATGACAGTACTGTATGTGTTCTAGATGGGAAAATTTTTTTTGCATTAGGATTTTAGGTTGAGTAACTAGTAGACCAGCCTTTATCATTTCTTTTTTTGGCACTGGGGATCAGACTCTGGTCCTTGTGCTTGCGAGGCAGATGGTAGAACCACTGAGGTTAATCCCTGGCCCCAACCCAGCCTTTCTCATTTCGAGTTAATGGTGTTTTATATCATCTTTTGTATAATTATTCTATACTAGGAAACACAGCCAGGTTAAATATAATCTGTACATTTTTACTTAGTGGGTTATCTTTAATGTTATTATCAGTAGCAATATTTAAAGAAAATAAACATAACTTTTATACATGGGACTAATCACTAAAGTTTAGGTTTATAATAGTTGGACTAATTATTTCTTTTTAGAATTGTCATCTTCATGAAAGTTGTTTTAAATCCCAATTTTTTGAAAAATTTTTCCATAGGTTTCAACAGCATGTGCCTTTCCAGGAAAGTAAGCTGACTCACTATTTTCAAAGTTTTTTTAATGGTAAAGGGAAAATATGTATGATTGTCAACATCAGCCAGTGTTATTTTGCCTATGATGAAACACTCAATGTATTGAAGTTTTCAGCCATTGCACAAAAGGTAAATATAATTTCAAATTTATACTAAAATTTTAAAAGTACATCTTATTAGAATATTAATATTCCTTGAAGTGTTTAGTACTTGTTACCATAAGCCTAGGAAATAATTGAAAATCAAATACTTGACTAAGTGTAAAGTCATGGGAAAATATTGGAAGTTGCCCCAAAAGAATTAAATGACCTGAGTAATCGTTAATCATAAAAATATTACAGATTGACAGATAGTCTCAGAATGAATTTTCTACTCTTCTAGTCATCAGATTTGTCTAGTCCTAGGTAATTTGAAAGCCTTTTGCCTGTTGTAATACAAAGAATTTTTATCTAAGGATGTAGGTTTACTATTTTTTCATGCATAAGTATTTTTTTCTTCATAGAAGCTTCATTTAAGGGTGCTACTTTTCTTTTTTTTCATAATTTTAATACTTAGCTTGTCATTTTGGTTAAATTACAAAATTATTTGGTTATAGTGGGCAGTTCTTTTGCTTTTTTGTTTTGTTTTGTTTTAAAAATCATGTTGGATATTTTAACAGGTTTGTGTCCCAGATAATTTAAATTCTTCTCAAGAGAAATCTTTTGGATCAGTCAAATCATCTCAAGATGTATCAGACAGTAATTTGAATAATAAAATTTTAAATGCAAAAAGAACAACAATTTCATGGGAAAATAGTCTAGAAGATTTAGTGGAAGATGAAGATTTGGTCGAGGACCTAGAAAAACCTGAAGAAAACCAAGATAATAACCAAAGTGTGGAAACTGAACTTATTGATGAAGATCTAGATAAAACATTAGAGGAAGATAAGACTTTCATTAGCCAGGAGGAGAACAGAGTATGTATTAAGCACTTGTACTTTTATGCTTGGTTTAACTTTCGGTATTAGGGCTACCAATTCTGTATTTTTGAGGAGGGGTGAGGTTTGTTTTGTTTTTGAGACGAAGTCTTCCTATTTAGTTCAGGCTGGACTCACTATGTAGCCCAGCTGGCCTAGAATTGGTAATGATCCTCCTGCCTCAGCCTTGAGTGTTGGGATGACAGGCATGAGCCACCAAGCCCCGCATGGCTACCAATTCTTAATACTTCCTCTCTTAAATTTGAGATGAGGTCTTGTGTGTCCCAGGCGCTCATAAAATTAGCAAACTCCTGAAATCAAGCATTGCTCCCAACCCCACTTCTCCTAGTAGCTGAGACTATAGGCATATCCCCGTCTCTTCTTTATTAAATGGCACACCGAATTTTTTGTTTTGTTTTGTTTTTGAGACAAGGCTGTCTGTGTAGTTGAGACTGACCTGGAACTCACTGTGTAGCCCAGGCTGGTCTCGAACTCACAGCAATCCTCCTGCCTCAGCCTCCCGAGTGCTGGGTTTACAGGTGTGTGCCACCATACCCAGCTCGAAATATTTTAATCTCAACTTAATTTTTTTGAAAGATTTTTAGTCTTCAGAAAGATGAATATAATGAAAACTCATTTATCTTTTATCTGGATTTGTTAGTTATTTTATAAATATATGAATACATATTTTTTTGGTTTGTACTGTTTGAAAACATGCTATGTACATAATAGTACTGGAAAACTAAATATTTCCTCAAAACATGGTCATTTTTCTTCAGATCATAAGTCCATTTTAATATCTAATAAATTAAACATTAATATAATAAAGTGATTACTATAACATCTATATTGAAATTTGTCCAGTGATGGGAATATACTCATTATAGTCACTTTGTTTTCATCTACTCCCAAAGCTAAAACATTACTTTCAAGTATCATATTTAGTAATTCCTGCTCCATCATTGCCTTTTTTTTAAAAGTAAAGGTTATTGTTTTATAGACTATGCCCAATCTAGATACATCTCATTGCTTCAGGCATGCATATTATATAGATGAAATTGTGAATTTGCTTTTGCATCACTGTGTCTGATTTCTCTGTTCTTAGAAATGCTAAATTTTGCTTATTTGGCTAAATGATAGTTTACCAGATCTCCCTCTATTGTAAAAGCATATAATCTGTGGAATATTTTGAAACTATGCAAATGTCCTGTACCTTAGTATCTTTTCACCCTGTGATTTTAGCATATTCCACCATAATTTCAGCCTTCAATCTGAAGTATAGAACATCTACCCAATCCCAGCTATTCTGTTTCTTCAAAAACATTTTATTGCTAAGGTAAATAGGTTTAATAGTGGCTCTTTCAGTGTCTATTTAAATATAGTTCATATGTTTAAGATGCATTAATTCTGAGATTTATATTATCTCTTTATATTATCTGTTCCTCTCATAATATTAATTTGTCATAACTATGTACGTATACTTGGATTCCTCCCTCCTGCGCTCCCTCCTCTCTCTTTCTCTCTCTCTCTCTCTCTCTCTTTTTTTTGTGGTTGTTGTTGTAGTGCTTAGAATCAAATCCTGGGCTTCACACATGCTTGGAAAGTGCTCTACAGCTGATCTACATCCCCAGGCCACAAAAAGTCCTTTTAACAGTGTTCTAGAAGCACTATAAAGCCTGTGTTTATAGGCCTGTTTTAATGGTGTGACATCTCATATATTACGACATTCTTACTTATGGAAGTCTGAAGCACAAGTATTTGAATGGTGTATTGAATTAAATGTCTCATTTCAATTTATATCACTATTCTGGAAGGTCAATTCCTGCTCTTGTTGTTTGGAAACAAAAATGAAAACTTCAAGTGCTATACTGTCACAGTTATCTGGTCACTATGTGGTTGGACCTTCTTAATTTGGTCTTTGTAATGTCATACCTATCTTGATGACAAAAGAAGCTAGTAATAGTCCTGTTTTATTGTTTTCTGATATCTTCATTGTTGTTTTTAATATAATGTTTGTTAAACTTGAAATATTGAAATTTGTGAATATACTAGGGAAAATATTTTTAGGAAAAATATTTAATATTGTAGCTTAGATTAGATAGTAAATATACGTAGCATTACTAGATATTTAATTGAGAAATTCACACTTTTGTCTAATATTTGACCTTTTTGTTTCATTGATGGGGATCAAACCCTGGACCTGTGGATGCGAAGCAAAGTACTGTACAGCTGAGCTATATCCCCAGTACTTGGGATACCTGATTTTAAGAAGCAGAAATGATTAGGCATTGCATGCTTTATTAACATTGTAATAGATTATCTGGATTATTAAAATTGGTTACAAAATATGAGCTCACTTAACACTTAGAATGCATAGTTAAAAGTCTTTTCATCAAAGACAATATCAGATGTTAATAAGTGATAAAAACTTGAAAATTACTAAAGTAAACCAATTTCCCCATTGTATTACCACATTCATGCAGATTTCTAAATCTTCAACATTTTAAGTTACTGTTTATTGTTTTAAAAAATAGGAAAGAGCTGGGGATTTACTCAGTGGTTCTGGTGCCTGCCTCGCAAATGCAAAGACCTGAGTTTGATCTCTGGTACCAAAAAAATTAAAAAAAAAGACTGTGGAAAAAATGGAAAACTGTGATTGTTTAAAATTGTATAAGTAGTATATATTCATGGTAGAATGTTAAAAAAAATTCACAGAGTTCTCAATCACTTATGCTAATAAATTTTTACTCTGCATTAATGATTCCTAATCTGATTTTTTTCAGTTAAAAACAAAGAAAAATATGTAGTATTAATATAGGTCATCATTATTAATTGTAGTATACTGTGTGACAATACTATAGTTGAACCAGTTCCATAAGTTTGGCTTTTGAATTGGGCTTCACTTTTTCTTTATTTAAAAAAAAAAAAACTACCACTACCAACATCACTGAGATGAGGATTCTTACAGCCAAAATGCTCAGTCATGTTATACAGTTATTTACTCATTGTTTGTTTGGTTTTTTCAATATAAGTTCTTAATGTGGAACTTCAGGGTATTTGTAGAAATATTTTCAAATATAAAGTTGAAACATTGAAAGACAAGTCTTAAGACAGCTTATTGATTAATTTGTTGTTGAGAAACTAATCAAACTAAATCAGTCTGTTTTCTTAATGCTGTAACTTACTATGAATCTCTACTGGCCATGTTAAATATTAAGTACTCTATTTATTGTATTACATGATCATATATATTTTCAAAGGATATAGAGTTGTTACTTACGTCTGGATTATTATAAAAGTTAATACAATGAGTCCGTGTAACATGTCTCTCCTGCCTTCTGGTTAAATATTAGGTAGGGTGTTTTTTAGCAATTTCTTATCCCTGTAATGCTTTAGATTTTGATAGGCTACTTTAAAACCTAGCCATTAGCAATTGCCATGGATCTGGTCTTTCCCCAACAATGAAATGTGGATGCTTCCAGCCTCACAGATGATTATGCATATTAAATGAAACAAAATGTGGACGTCTCCAAAATAATTCCTGGTGGATAATACATGGTTAAATATTACTTTTTCTCAGTTACTGTAATTTTTTTTCTGTAAGTCTGTTTCTAAAATGTGGAGAGGTTCACTTTTTCAGATTAATGAATCCTTACAAAATGTACAATATTCAGTAAAAATATTAGTACTATAAAATACATATTTATAATTGTCTAGATGAAAAGTTTGATCTTTAAACATTTTCACAGTATTTCTCCTGGGATGTACTTGTTCTTCTCTAAGAATTTTAATATTTATATGTTTTAGAAACTGTTGGATTTAATAGAAGACTTAAAAGCAAGACTAATAAATGAAAAGAAAGAAAAGTTAACACTGGAATTTAAAATTCGAGAAGAAGTTGCACAAGAGTTTACTCAGTATTGGGCTCAGCGGGAAGCTGATTTTAAGTAAGATTTCTTTCATCACTTGGTGAAAATTGACAATATTGTTTACTTGTTGTTTTTTTTCAACATATATTTTTGTTTTATATTAGGTAACTTCTGTGTCCTGATAGCTTCTTTATACAGGCCTCAAAATAGTTGTTACTAATTCTCACACATGATTATTTCAGTTTGCTGTTAGACTTTTATTTACTTAATCTTAGAAATTTAAAACAAAACGCAAGCATTGCTTTCTCCTTTTTTGATCAGAATAATTTGTTTTGTGAAGGGAAACTCTTTTCCAGGAACGAGAAATATTAGAAGAAAATGCTGAATGTCGTTTGGCCATCTTCAAAGATTCGATTGACAAATGTGACACCCAAGATGAACCAACAAATGGAATTTGTGCCACAGAAGTTGAAAATGAAGTATGTCCATTGATATATTAAAAATATTTAGTGATATTTTTGGTACCAGAATATAGTATACCACATCAATGATAAGAAATGTTAATATAATTTAAAATTAAAATAATAGTTACTGTAATTAGCTTTATTGCAATTATGTTTTATTAGGAATATAAGCACAAATAGATTAAATATAACTTTTGGGCTTGGAAAAATTTATATTGCTGTTACAGTTACTTTCCACTTTGGTATTGCTTGAGTCACTGTATTGATTCAGGGAGATAGTCCTTGATTTTAGGGAGATAGTTGTTTT